AGAGCCTGTTGACCACCCGGACACTCACCACAGAGTTCTCCTTCATCTCCCTCTCCTGCTGTTCAGCGTGTAGACGTCGAAGGAAACGGGGCGGTAGGTTTTTGCGGAACAGGGACCGTGAGGAGAGGTGCGAGGAGGAAGAGGTGGCGGCGGCGGAAGTACTACCATCTGATCGTTGACCTGCGTTGACGGAGGACCTGTCTGTGGGGAAGGGCGCCACTGAGGACGTCAGCTGGCTACTCTGGCGAGCGGCAACCTAAAAAAGCAGTACGATCAATGAAGAATCCTACAACGCTGTAAACTGACTGAGTGATTATTGACAGATATCGCAGAATTCCAGTCGTGGTTTCGGTGAACCGGAAAACATCTAGTGAATACATGGGTGGAGCCCAGTAAATCGGCAAATGTTATAACACGGACCGCAGAATATTCAGAATACTTGAGTAATGTTGACTGGGATTTTATCCTGCGGAAAGTAAAAAGTGCATATTTGTTTACTTTAACAATAAGGCACTATAATCAAACCATTTCAAAGGTCAATTGGGCCACAGAACCTAACCCCACTCACTCACGCGACGAGTGAAGCGTCAAGCATAAAGTGACACACGGTAGTTTGAATGCCGCAGGATAAACGACATCCACTGCGGGTCCCTACGGAGTGGACGCAGCACCAGTGACTTGTAGGACATCCATCGCGCTGTCTCCTTCCTCATTCACCCTGCTCCAATTACTAAACCACGTTAAAGTAATTCCGTCCCTTTTTGGCACAGTGTCTTCGGATCGCAGACCAGTACTAGGGGCCAAGCCACCAGCAGGCGAAAAACCCCACAGTGAATGCGGCGAGTAATCGGGTGGAGGGAAACAATTTTTTGCCTGACAACGTTAAACAACTATACTACTATATGCAGTTTCGTAGGCGTAGTTATACCTATTACTGCATCCCCAAACAAGGAAATTTTTAGCTTCCTGTGCTTACTTTTGGTTGTACTAGTTTTACTTAAGTTAGTTTTCGTTAGCTAAATTTCAATCTAATTTAAATTTTTGAGTGACATGCGGTGTCTTTTCGGCTAACCGTACTCCAATATCTGCCCAAATGCAGTGGAAGCTATTGTGAGTTTTAAAAAATGGGAGAAGCCTATATTTTATGGTTTTACTTTAATTCCTAAATTTCGATATAGAGTCGATATTGATTTGTAGCCACTTCGAGAGGACATTTGCGCATTTGAATAGGCCCTACTTTTTAATTTATGTTTCCTTTTCCCTCATATGACCCGCCTATATAACGCCTATTGACATCGGTCCCGTAAGACAGAATCCTTGGGGTAGGTGTAATTAAGGTACAGATGTCATGTGGGGCCGTCTGTAGGTAGACATTAATAATAAAAGCAATTACTTAGAAAATCGGCCAACGTACGCTTTGTAATTAGTTG